GCTGCAGGGAACGGTGAGCCGAGGGGCCCGTGGGGTGCGGCTCAGAGGGGTGGGCTCCCCAGCCAGCCCCTCAGCTGCCTCTCCACCCCGCAGGAAGAGCCCCCGGTGCCTGTCAGCGTCCTCCGCCGCTTTCCCTTCTCCTCCGCCCTGCAGCGCATGGTAGTGGTGGTGGCGTGGCCGGGGGCCGCCCAGCCCGAGGCCTACGTCAAGGGCTCCCCCGAGCTGGTGGCAGGCCTCTGCAGCCCCGAGACAGGTGAAGGGCCAGGCGCACATCCCCCCGGCCAGGCGCTGGCACAGAGTGGGGTGGGTGCCCAGCTGCTGCCCCGTCCGGTGACAACTGCCTCTCCCTGGCAGTGCCCACCGACTTCACCCATATGCTTCAGAGCTACACGGCTGCCGGCTACCGCGTCGTGGCTCTGGCCAGCAAGCCGCTGCCCATCACACCCAGCCTGGAGGCGGCACAGCAGCTGACGAGGTGGGCCCGTCCCTTGCCCTGCCCCCTCTGGAACCGAGCCTGGGCTCAGGCCTGGGCAGAGGGGACCCTCATGCAGGCAGAGCCGAGGAGATCGCCCTGCCTGGTCGTGGGAGAGGGCCGTGGCCACTGCCTGACCTCTGACCCGGGTCTGCCCCCTCCAGGGACACCGTGGAGCAAGAGCTGAGCCTCTTAGGGCTGCTGGTCATGAGAAACCTGCTGAAGCCACAGACGACCCCGGTCATCCAGGCGCTGCGGAGGACCCGCGTGCGGACCGTCATGGTGACAGGTACCGCAGGCTATGGGGCCCAGCGCCGAGGCGGATCTGCCCCCTCCAGGCCAAGCGGGATGCCCACGTCCCTCCCTGCATCAGGCCAGGCCCTTGTCACACATTCCCAGGTCTTCACAGTGTCCTTCTGAAGTAGTGACTGTCACCCTGTTTGACAGATGAGGAAACTGAAAGTCAGAGGAGTGGAGTGATTCCACAGAGCCCAGATGGGACGCCCGGCAGCCTGGGCTCCTGCCCGGCTGCTCCCCTGCCGGGTGACCAGTTCCCGCCTCTGAGAAGCATCGATAATGATGTCAGCCTCCGGGGCTCTGACGAGCCCAGGGAGCAAGAAGAATGTGTGTGGAGCTTACAGCCTGGCCCCCAGTCTCTCCTGAGACCCCTCAGCGCCAGATTCACAGATGAGGACACTGAGGTCCAGAGATGTTGACAACTCTCCCGAGCACACTCAGCTAGTGATGGCAGATGATTTCTTTTTTCTGTTTTTTTTTTTTGAGTCGGAGTCTCACTCGGTCGCCCAGACTGGAGTGCAGTGGCC